CTATTTACAGATGAAATAATTAGATTGTGCCTCCAATTGCCATGATGTCAGAAGGCAAACTCATAGTCTGCACCTTATCACACCCCAATTAAAGAAATCCAACCCCACTGAGCTCAAACTCAAATTCTTACCACTCTAAAAGTTAAGACATTTCAGGATCCTGAATGCAAGCTGAAACTACACTTCAGTCATAAAAGCTAAAGCCCCAATGTTATTCTATTCTCACCATGGTCCTCAGGAGTCACTAGTTACCTAAAGCCATATTTTTGAAAATACTAGTATGCTTGCACGAACATTTTGCCTCACTTGTGAAGGAGCTAGCATGAATTCAGTTAAGCCATATTAAGGGTCATATAATGGCAGTATCTCACCTAGTTTTATGCAAAGGGGTTTCTAACCTCAGCAGCTTGATGTCAGGCAGCAAGTCTGATAATGCCTAGTCTTAGTCCAGACCTTTTGAAGTCTGTGTTGTGTTGAAGTTGAACAGATTCTTACATCTTATTTGCCTAAATAGCTTTATTTGAAAATGTAATCAGACACTTATGGATCTTTTCTAGAGGTATTCAACTCCAATTGATATTAAATTACATATAAAGGCACAGGGGAAACAGACACCTTAGGTTTCCATTGTGGCCAGATGCTTTTGTCATTTAAGACTAATCAAGGCCTGGTCTGTTGCTCCATCTTGGAATGCTCAAGCAGGCTGCACATGCATAGAGCCAGCTCTAGATTTTTGCCGCCCCAAGCAAAAAAATGTTTGCCCCCCCCCCCAGCCCTGGGCTCTCCCTCCTTCACCTGCACCCCCTGCTGCCCCAGCCCTGGGCTCTCCCACACCAACTGCACCCTCCTTCCGCCCCAGCCCTAGGTCACTGGTAACTCACTCCCAGGGCGGGTCATTCAGCAGGAATTTTAGATGTGCACAGAACACAGACAGGATTGGTTCCCACAGGGTTACAAAACTCTAGTAAAGTGGAACAGTTTTCAGCTAGTGTGTTTGGAGGATATCTGGATGCATATTATAAGACTGTCCTCCATAAATGAGGAAAAGCTGAGGTGCCTTTATTATTCTTTTGTTCCACTCTTTGTTTCTATGGGGAATTTGCCAATACAGTATCACTGTCTTCCTTTTAAACAAATAAAAGGAAAAAAAAAATAAAAAATGGCAATGGCTGTTGAAAATAGCAATTCCAGTCCTAATAACCACTGGAAAGCATTTCTTGCTCAATTTTGTCCTACTTTTTCTACAGCAAGTTACAGTGGATCAGTATATTTGATTTGGGAGAAATGAAGTAACAGCTGCCCAAATTGAGCTTGAGCACTCCTGAATTTTAAGGGTGTTCAAATCTGGAAGGCAGGTGCTAAATTCCCTTTCTGAATATTAGCTAAATCTGGAAAGGAAAAGTCAATTTCTGCTTCCATGTCTCAGAAGTGGAAATCCTCCTACATGCCTGGTACTGTATCTAAAGCTGCCCAGGTCCAGAGCCTCCCCTCCCTTACTTTTCATTTTAAATTCTAGTGGGATCCATGTACCTCCCTTGCTAGGCTTCAGATAGAAAGGTGCACTGTCCATTTAGTCCACCCAACTCTTTGGGGGCTGCAAGGCTGAGGTCACACCAGTATCCCTAATCCAGGCTGGGGATGTCTTCTGAAGGGGATATCTGGGCCAAAGCCTTCTACTCCTTACTTGTTCCCCATTCAGTGCCACCCCATTCTAGCAGTGAGCTCTCCATTCACAGCAAGCTGCAGCATGAGGTTTCAGCTACCATACTCCCTCCCCCTCCCTTTCCTGTTGATAGTGGCCAAGGGAATGCTGGGAAATGTCATTCTTTCCCTGCTCCAGGGCTGGCTCTATAGGCAGGGAGCTAAACAAGGAACTACAGCTCCCAGGGCCCCCTGTTGGTTCTCAGCTCCCATGCTGCCACCCCTGCAAATGGGCTGCCCAAGCACCTGCTTGCTTTGCTGGTGCCTACAGCCACCCCTGCACATGCAGCTGCAAGAGGTGGTGCAGCAAGGGCATTCATTCAATAGTAAGCCCTCTTGCTTATAAGAGGTGTTTAAATGCATTACTAATCTTGTACCTTCCTGTTAAATAACCATTGCAACCACACTGCAAGAAGGAGACTGTTTTTCAGGCAAGAGAAGCGGCTATAAGAACTGCAGGGTTCCATACCCACTGTCCTACGGCCTCAGCGTGACCTTGGCCAACTCATTTCACCTATGTCCCAGCTCTCCCCCCTGTAGAATGGGGATAGCCTCACAGTGCCCCATGTGTGTTAGGGGTTAAGTGCATTTGTGAAGTGCTCTGAGGTCTTTGGGTGGAACTTACTACAAAGACCTGATCACATCCTCCCATGCATGCACAGAACTCATTTAGTTCAGTGGGTATGATGGGTCCCCAGAAATGCTAAGACCACTGTCTAAATGGGTCACTGGCAAGCACTCTAATGACATTCCATCTTTGGATCTCATATACTAATGAGCCCTAGAATATTTAGTGAGCTCCTCAGACCCAGATGACCCAGGAGCAGCAGTGTCAGAGCAAGGCAAACAGACTAAGATATCAAGCCTTCTGGCAACACTGCGTGGATGAATTGGATCTCCTTGGCCTCCTCAAAAAGATGATGAAGAACTCTTTCACGGCCCATTTTGCTAGACCTACATAATTACGTCAGTCATCAACATTCTAATTATATATACATACACACGAGTGTTTAGATGCTCCATCTGGGACAGATTTCCTCCTCCCATGTCAACAGTAGTAACATTAAGTAATGTCACTTTTGGACCCAACTGATGTGAAAATAGTATGTAGAATTCTAGCAAAATAAACTTTGGGAACGCTTTCTTTGGTAACTCTTTGGTACTGCTATTCCTGCTTTCAGGACACTTCTAGCTGGAAAGTTAATTTAGTGCTGCTACTACTGTTAGTCTCCTCAGAGGGATTTCTACAGTTGTGTGTGAAATTTAAACCCTAGGATTGTTAAAAATCAGAAGCCTCTCACATCTAGGTCACTGGTTCTAATCATGTACAGATTAGAGGAGCTGTTAACTGGTAGTGGTTTAGTGACAACTGACCCAGCTGTCTCAGACTAGTTTCCAATAGACTTGGGACATCAGCGCTGAGTAAGCCACAGTTTACATTTCAGTAACTTCCACCCTAAAATTCTTTATGTAAAGCAATGTGATATTAGAAGTAGCCTACGCCCTATCCTGCTTCTAGGCCTAAAGCAAGATAAATTAGTTTAGAAAACTAGACTTATCTTAGACTCCCTGGAGTGTTACAACAGGCTGAGATTTTTAATTTGCTCGATGAACCATTTGTATTACCTTGTAATAGCCATTTGTACAAAACATATTATGAGTACTTAGTGTTACAGCAAAGAGTATTTCTTAGACATCAATAAGTGTTATTTGATATAATGACAAACATTTTAGATGTTAACTGCAGGTATACTCAGAATGGATTTGCTATGCTAGGGCATTACATAAGTGTGGTGAATAGCAATATGTATTACAGTGGCTCAAACTTTTTTTACTGGTGTCCCCTTTCACATAGCAAACCTCTGAGTGCAACCCCCCCCCCTATATATTAAATATATTAATATTAAAAACACTTTTTAATATATTTAACATCTTTATAAATGCTGGAGACAAAGCACGGTTGGGGGTGGAGGTTGACAGCTCATGACACCCCCCCCCCCATGTAATAACCTCACAACCCCCTGAGGGGTCCCAACCCCCAATTGGAGAACCCCTGATATATTAGAAGTGCAGAAATAAGCTTGTTGCATCTTATATGATCTTTAAAAATACAAGGAAATCACATTTGGTGGTCTACACTTGGTTTCAGTGACTAGACAATGACATAGGTAGAAGTGTTGACTCATAACAGTTGCAGCTATAAACTTGATCATTTTAAATGCACAAGTTATTATACTTCACACTATGTTCAACATTGTCACTTGCACTATATAGTGCAGCTACTGTTACAGACTTTAGAGTTGCACTCTATCTTGTATTACTACAAGCATGTTGGGCTACTATTGCAACCAAATTTGTATCTGTGTTTCTGTATTGTGTTTCCCTCACTATAGAGGCACACAAAGTAATACCAAAATATGCCCAGTGTATTTGTTTCATAGATGCCAAAGCCAGAAGTGACCACTGCCAATGTAAAATCCTCCTGTACACCAACCCTCAATATTTGTTCCTCATGTAGGTACTTTTAGGTCACCCCTTTACCTTTGGTAAGTTACTGTCTCCATTAGTCACCCATGCAGCGATCTTGTTTAACGATTCACATGTAACAGACTTGTTTCCCCAGACTGTCTAATCCCCTTTGCCATACGTGCTGCGTCTTCACTGAAGCAAGACTCCTTAGCAAGCAGGAGGTTTTCAGATTAGCAATTGAGTTATCAGCGTGCAAAGATAACTGCTGCAACTGGCCCAAAAGCTAATAGGGTCTCGGATAAATCAGCCAATGCTTTAAGTGCGCCCCCGAGCCAAGAGCTACCCGGAGAACAGTTAAGCCCAGGGTGTATTTTGCTTATGGCGTTGCCTGCACCTGTAACCTGAAGGGGTTGTGCGGGGCACCGCCAGGCTCTGCCCTCAGGACGGTGCAGAAAGCACCGGGGCCCGGGCATGACAGGCAGCCCCGCCCGTGGCCTGCCGCGCAGCCAGGGCACCGCAGGGCGGGCAGCGCCGGCCGGGAGTAGCCGGACCCGCGCTTAGGAGCGCAGCAGGTCACCCGTCCGCTCCGCGCGCCCGGCCTCACTGGCTCGCGCGCTGCCCGCCGCTTATTAAACGCGGCCGCGCGGAGTCTCTCTCATTTACTCACCTGCTAGTTCGGCGACACGCGCCTCCACAACCGCTACTCAAGCCTGTCACTCCGTCTGGTTGCCCACACCGGCCCTATTTATACCCGCTGCGGTCACGCCCCCATCGGGCCACGCCCACTTTATTTGCCTTCTGCACGCGGACTCCCGAGCCTCGCCTCTATAGGTAGCATCCGCTTTGTAATTGGCTGCCGCCTCGATGGATCGTATGTGACGCAAAGCTAGCACGAGAGACTCGGCGCTCTGGCAACCGCGGCTGATGGACTACGGGAGCGCGCCCCAGCGAGAACGGCCAGGTTCGCGTTTCGGGAACGCGCCGCCACGCTAACGGGCACCGGCCGAGCCAGGCGCTCTGCTGCCGGAGGGCGGGGGCGCTCCCCGCCTGTAGCCCCCCGCCGCGCATTGGGACACCGCAGGGAGATGGGGGCGCGCGAGGGCGGGATGGAGCAGGAGGGGGTGGGGGACATGAGGGGGATGGCACAGGAGGGGGCGCGCGAGGGCGGGATGGAGCAGGAGGGGGTGGGGGACATGAGGGGGATGGCACAGGAGGGGGCGCGCGGGAGTATGGAGTGGAACAGGAGGGGGTTGCGGAACGCACGCAAGAGGGACGGGGCGGGGGAATATTGGGATACTCCAGGGGGATGGAGCAGGAGGGGGATGTGGGCATGTGAGAGGGATGGGGACATAGGCCAGGTGGGATAGGGCATCTTGTCTGGGCTTGCTCTGTGTGTGACAGCCACCATCCCCGAGTGAACAGGCCACCTGGCTGGCAGGGGCAGATGGGGATGCCTTTCACCCCGCGCACCAGCCTACCCACACCCTCTAACACAACTGGTCCATCACATGCCACCGGGAGCACTGGCGGTTTGGGAGCACCTTGCGGGTACAGAGCACCCTGTGGAACCTCTCCTGAGTGCTGCCCTCACTAGTCCCCTGGATTGTGGTCCAGCAAGGCCCAAGGACACAAGAGTACTGAATTTGCTTAGACACAGCTCATGGTTTCCATTCCAGCAACATGATGAGACCCAGAAGGGATGTTCTGGTGAACAATGCACTGGGCTGGCACTTGGGAGATCTGGTTTCTGTTCCTGGCTCTGCCACAAGTTCTGTGTGTGACCTTGGCTCATCTGCTATGTGCTATAGCTTCCCATCCCAAAAATAGGGATAGCACTTCCTTTCCTCTTGGGGTGTTGTGAGGGTAAATCTGTTAATGATTGTGAAGATACTGTAGTGATGAGGGACATATAAGTATACAGATAGATGCTGTGGAGCTGGCTAAGAAAAGAATATCAGCCATAAATGAACAACATGGAAGTGCTGGCGATCATGCCTCAAGATATTCAAGATCCTGTCTATAGTAAACAAAGGCTGAGAAACAAATGCAGTGGTCGTTACAGAAGTTTCAGGAGGGGCTAGAGAGTCCATTTTGATGTTCCCATGATTCAAGGTCTTTGGAAACTGCAGGAATTAAAGTTTCATATCCATGTCAGAAAGTAAAGCTGAGAGCCATCTGCATGGCCTGAAAAACTCTTCTTCCTCAGATTGAGAACAGATAATTCAGGACTTGAATTAACTACACCATTAGGCATGTACTACATCACCACTGTGGAGCTGTTAAAGAAAGGATACTTGGTGATGTGATTCTTTAAGATAATTGTTTGAGTTGATCCACACTCCCCATTCTCCTTCACCAATTCAAAGTCTTTACTGTAGATTCCTGAGTTAGTGGAAGCAACTAAATGAAGGTTGGGGGATGATTTCTTTTATATTCTTGGGCTCAAATACATGTAGTCAAGATGTGGGGGAGGTGTGCCGCTAGTGAATGAGGCTGACTAGAAAATATGAAGCTTGTACACTGTAGTGCACCTCATTCAATGGTGTCCATACAAACAGTGATCTCCAGTAACTACATTTAATAGGTAAATAGCCTTTCTTTCCCACTTTAGAGGACAGGCCCTCCTTTTTAGCTGAACTTAAGTACATTTAAGGCAAATTGATATTTGTTGCTAGTAACAAGATTTTATTTTGTTTTCCACATTTAGGGGATAAAAATGCTTTGACTATTTTATTTTTAAAGACATGCTCCTTCTTTGAATAGGTGAAGGAACAGAAAGGCCAAGATTTTAAATTCAATCTAAATGTAAGAAGCCTGGTTTTCAAAAATGAAATAACCAGCAATTTGCACTGACTTCAGTAAGGAGCTGATTGGTAGTCAGCACTTTCAAAAATCAGGCCATTTAATTTAGGCACCCAAAAACAAAGATTTAGGAGCCCATCTTTAGGCATTCATTTTTAAAAATGGAAAAAGATTATAGGGAAAGTTAATTGTCTAATTGTGTATATATGTGTAGCTGAGAGCATAGCAATAGCTCAGGATCACAGCATAGATGCGATTGAATTTTACAGCCACCTCACTCACTGACACACCTTCCATTGGTTAGTATCCTGGAAACCTCAATCCATAAACCTGAAAGAGATTTGACTAAAAAAACAGAATGTTGTGTGAAACACATCTCAGTTTCCTGAATTTTGGACAGAGGATGGTTAAATCCCCCAGGCTGGTGCATAGTTAATTTTGAGATCTGATAAATTAACTAAATCTGATCTGATTCTCATCACAAATAATTTGATTGATTTCTCTTTCTGGAATAAGCTCCATATACATGTTTTTTCTGTCCTGTCTTTTTAGCTGTTCATATGCATTCTGTGCTGTCAGCAACATTCAACTTGATTTTCTCAACTGAAATAGAAACATTAAATAGAGGAAAAATGCGTCAGGAACATCAAAGAAAATGTGGAATAATGGGCTGCTAAGGTAGGAGATAAGTGTTTGCCATGACATATGCACTAATGCCAAATCACTATCAGCGTGAATCAATACATCGAGATATGGAGCAAAATAAGGCTCTGAAATAAGCAGGCTCATGGATATGTTACTAAGGAGTAATTGGGAGTGGGACTCCCCATTGCTGATTTACGAGCATGCTTAAAAATTAGACACTTCCCAGAGGCACAGCATTTACTTGCTCACTTGGATTATCAAATTGTGAGTTGTACTCCACGATGTGACTTGTAATCACTGTGATTACATTTCTATGTTAAAATTAAGAGTCACTACAGATTTCATTGTAGAACTCAGGATGCATAGGCATATTATGCATTCAATGTTTAACCTGATGCAAACATTCTGGAATCTATACTGAGCCTTAGAGCAGGAACAATTTCTATTTTTCATACCTAGGAGAGCCTGTAATGTTCACGCAAAATGCAATCAGTTTAAAGTCATACAGGGAACACCCATCAAAATCCCCACATCTATTAATAGTGCTTTCAGCAGTTTTACACTGCATCTTTAGATGTTTATGAGATTATGTTTGGTGTGTTGGGGGAGTGTGAACTTTCACTAAATTTGGTAGCCTTGGGGGACAGAAACTAGTGCTTCTATGCAATGGAAAACTTTTCTGAGAATTTCTCTACCACAACTGTGAGTTTCCATAAACTCTGGGGGAAGATGCCAGTCATTATTGGATGAATTCATCCTTCAGAGATGGGGAAAAGACCAAGATATTTAGCAAATGTGGTGGGGGAAGCCAAAAAATAGTCATTTAATCAGCTGCTTTCCACACACTCTGTAGGCTCAGTTTCCACACCATGTAGGGTCAGTGTCTTGTCCCTGCTTAGTGGGGAGGCTTTCTGGTATGACTGCACCTGTGAGCCTGTAAATAGTAGAAGATACTTCTATACCAGAACAAGCAAGAGAAGTGGAATTTAGAGAAGAGTAACGGAAATTAATACAAGGCTAAAGAACTTGTTGGTTAGGACAGATAAAAGGAACTAAACATTTAAAGTTTGACTAAATGATAATCACTATGTACAAGTATCTGAAAGATGTAAACATAAAGTAGTAAGAGGAATGATAAAGTCTGCTCTGAGGGGACATACATGGGAGTAATGAGGTGGACTTAAGAAAAATTTAGAGTGGTTATGAAGAGAAATTTCCCATCACTGAGGCTTATAGTAAGCTAGAGAATGGTCTCCCATGAGAAACAAGGCAAGTCCCTTCAGTTTTGTCAGTTAGTTTCATTTCTGAGTCATAACTACAATTATACTACATCTTCAACCCTACTCCTGCCTCAAGCATTTTTGGATTCTGTGGTAGGAAATAATGATTTTTGGCAACAACATTTCTGGTTTCTTGTGGATTAATAGCAATTTTCTTACAACCTGAAAAACACTTTCTACTTACAATATGTATTAAATATCAATAAAAGCAAAAAGATACAGTATAGAGTTTACTGAAACTACAAATATAAAAATTGTATTCTTGTTACAACAGGCCCACATTTTACAATGTATGTTTACAAGATTCTTGTTTTACACCAAATGTTGGTAAAATGAGGGAGATAATTGGAGGAACAGTGACCTATTCTCTACTGAAGGCATCTGTCATCATATCACTAAGGTGGAATGGTACACAGTCATGAGGAGCTACTGGACTCTCTATTACACAGATTGCAATAGTGGAGAGGAATCCCTTCTTCCATCTTTGACTGATAGGAGACTGTGTCAGTTCCTCTCTGATGAGGATCTAGCCTTCGTGATCCACATTTTAGCACCTTCAAGTTAGATTATTGCAACACATAGGGCCATATGGAAGCATGACTAGCAAATTACCTTTGAGGCAAGAAAGACTGAAGAACATGCATTACATCAGTACTCTGTATGTGCCACTGGTTCCCATTTGGTTCCAGATCTAATTCAAGATTAGAGTCTTCATTTTTAATGGTCTGGGGTCTAGTTTCCCTCAGGACTGACTCCAGAGATGCTCCAGAAAATGAGGACAAAAGCTGACTTCCTTTCAGAAAGGGGACAATGCAAGATTCATCTTTTCACACAACCCTTCCTTCAAGGATGATGGTATAAAAATGCTCTGGTGATACACCTTGCTGGGGAAAAAAGAAGGAACAAAGAAACATTGAAAAACACAAAGTAATACTGTCACACTGAATGATGGAGCCTAGATGCCCTTTATGGGAAAATATTTTTTAATTTACTTTTGTACATAGTGCCCAGAAACCTTGTTATGGGCACATTAAAAATGCTTAAAGATTAATAAGTTCTATTAAAATTGTTTTCCCATTTGAATCCAGTAATAGGACAACAAATTTATTTTTGGCAGAAGAAAAGCAGTTAAAAACCTTTGTAAATGTCAACGATCTGGCACTACGAGATTAGTTGCCTTACCGGATGCAAGCTGAATGCAGTGTGTCACTATAAATCACAGGTCTTAAACTCAAATGACCACGAGGGCCACATGAGGACTAGTGCATTGGCCCGAGGGCCGCATCACTAACACCCCCCCTCGCTGCCCCCGGCCCCACCCCCACTCCACCCCTTCCATGAGGCCCCGCCCCACCTCTTCTCCTCCTCCTCCTCCAAGCGGTTTTAATAAAATATATACACTCAGTAAAGCCCCCCCACTGCACTGGGCTGCACCACCGCTCCACCTCTGCTCTGCCTCTTCCAGGGGTGGCAGGTTTGTAGAAATTTTGGTAGTGCCCAGAACCCGCCCCCACCTGCCTAAATTTCTGGGAGGGAGTTTGGATGCGGGAGCGGGTTTGGGGTGCAGACTCTGGGATGGAGTTTGGGTGCTGGGTGCAGGCTCCGGGCTGGGGCAGGGGGTGGGGGTGCAGGCTCTGGGAGTGGAGTTTGGGGGATAGGAGGGGGTGCAGGGGTGAGGGG